GAGTGGCCAGGAGCCTCTTGGTGGCCCCTACTGCAGCCAGCATCACAAACCTAGGCACCAGAAGTAAAGGCACATATTCCCCTCACTCAAGGCAGCCAATGCCTATCCCAAGGCACAAACTCACTCGCCTTTACTGGTCTCGGTTTTCCCAACAGCCCGATCATCGCGTTGCATGTGACATATAAAATATAACCCAACCGTGTCTTGCGCTCTCTGTATTTCAGGCTTATTATCAAACCTACAGACACAGCTACTTCGATTAATCACCCACGTCCGCGCGCCATCCACCATAAGGACCTACGAGCCGTATTGGCTCAAGTTCCGCCTCTTTTGCACAAAGGTCAAGCTGAGCTACCTGCCTGCCACAGACACCACTCTAGCGCTCTACCTTGTCTATGCCCTCAACAATCAGGCCACAATATCCGCCATATCCCTTACGTGCTCCGCCGTCGCATTTGAACACCGGATGACCGGAGAACCCTCTCCCACGAGCGGGCCCTTCACCTCACAAGTTCGTGAATTCTCCAAACGCCACGGCCCGTGCACCACTTGAACGAAGGAACCCTTGTCGCTCCACCAGGTGCACACCATGACACACCCCTTCCTTGAGTCGAGCAGCCCGGCAGAATATCAGAAAGGACTGATCCCACTCCTCATGTTCGCGGCATTCCTCCGCTACTCCGACCTCGTCTCCATCCAGTGGAACGACATCCAGTTCGACGAGGAGTCTATGTGGATCCTAATCCCGCACTCCAAAATGGATCAGGACGGCAAGGGCTCATGGATCCCAGTTGCTCCCACAACTGGACCTTACTGCCCAGTCCATTGCACCCAACGGTTTCTGCAACTCGCGAGACACTCCACCACCCCGCATGGACCATTGATCTGTATCTTTGGCACCAGCGGCAGGGCAACCCCTCAAGACAGCGCTCCGTCATACACAACCATCCGCAACTGGTGCCTCGAAGCCTTCGCCAAGGCTGGGCTTGACAACAGACACCTCGGCACCCACTCCTTCCGCAAGGGCGCCGCAACTGCGGCAGCTAACTTGGGGATCCCTGACCGGCTCTTCAAGCGACTCGGTCACTGGCGCAGCGATACGGCCAAAGATCTCTACGTCACCATTGTGCAGGACCAGCTCCTTGCGGCGTCCACGCGCATCCAAGAAGCTTCCGCCGCTCCATCACCCAGTCACCACCAGCTGTCTATCGAGCGACACCGCCAGCCCCTGCTACACATGCCTCAGAAGACCCATATGAAATGAAGCACGCTGCCTTTGCCAAGATGACCCAAGCAAGCTTTCACAATATGCAATTTTTTGAAAGCGTGTAACACTTTCTAAAAAATGTGTATTGTGAAAGTGTAGCGAGGGCCAACGCAGCAAGGGCAGCGTCGAAGCGCTACTCACCCTCTTTTGCCAACAAAAGAGGGACGTGATGCCATTCGACCTCACCCACGTGTCAAACATGTTTGTATAGACTGTATAGGGTAGCCTCTTAGAGGGTACAACACTTAGGTATATCTGTGTGTCCCCTCTCTCTAACATCATTCACTTCAATTTCGGATATGGTATCAGAGCTCCCTGCGCTCTCGCGTCTACGTCACATGTCCCAGCACGGTCTTGTCCTTGGTCTCCCAGGTTCTCTCCCTGCGTTTCCCTCCTCCCCAGCCCCACCTTGCACGCCTTGTGTCGAGGGTCGGCTTCGCCGTGCCCCTCACTCCTCCGCGTTTCCCCCTACCGCCGCGCCGTTGCAGACCCTGCACCTGGACGTATGGGGCCCCGCCCCTGTCCCTGGGCCGCGTCGAGAGCGTTACTTCCTTGTGCTTGTCGACGACTTCACACGCTACACCACAGTCTTTCCCCTGGAGCGCAAGGCCGACGTGCCTGGCGCTCTCATCCCCTGGCTTGTCTCTGCGCGTACCCACCGCGGTCTCCCTGTCTTGCGTTTTCACTCAGACCGTGGTGGCGAATTTGCCTCAGGTGTCCTTGGTCGCTTTTGGCGTGCGGAGGGCATCACCCAGACGTTCACCCTACCGGACTCCCCACAGCAGAATGGGGTCGCTGAGCGACGCATCGGTTTGGTCATGGAGGTGGCTCGCACCTCCATGATCCATGCCGGTGCACCCCATTTTCTGTGGCCGTTCGCTGTGCGCTACGCTTCTCACCAGCTTAACCTGTGGCCGCACCCTCAGCAGCCGCAGGTTTCGCCGACCCGTCTTTGGACTGGGTCTCCTGGTGACGCGTCTGCGTTCCACGTCTGGGGCTGCCTTGCTCACGTCCGTGCCTCCGGCACGGACAAGCTCACTGCCCGCACCCTTCCCTGCGTCTTCCTCGGTTTTCCCCTTGACGCGTCCGACTGGCACTTTTACCACCCGCCGTCTCACCGCTTCTTTCACTCTCGTGACGTCACCTTTGACGAGTCCGTCTCCTACTACCGTCGCTTCCCCCACCGTGGTCCCCCGGTTACTCCCCCCCTGTTCCTGGTCCCTCCTTCCCCGGTAGTCCCTGCCCCTCCTCCTCCTCCTCCCCGTCCCGCCCCCTCTGGTGTGTCCCACGTCACCCCCCTTCCGTCGGTGGACCCGGTTGAGGAGTCTTCTGACTCTGGTGGCCCTCCTGTGAAGTCCTCGTCAGCCGCCCCTCCCCTGGCGTCCCCTCCCCAGTCCCCTCCTCCACCGCTTCTGCCGCCGCTGCAGCCGTCGTAGCCGCCGCCGCCGCCGCTGCCGTCGCAGCACCCGTTCGCTGACTTTGGGGGTGCTCGTCCCGGTAGCCCTGGAGGTGGTCCCTCTGGGGGTGCTGGTGTGGAGAGTGTCGGGGGTAGCCGAGGAGCAGCTAGCGGTCCCGGTGTCGCCGTTGTGCCGCCGCAGCAGCAGTCCCCGCCGGTGTCAGCCCTTCGCCTGCTCGGCCTGCCGTCCCCCGACCCTGCGTCGGTTCCTCCCCGACCGTCTCCTCCTCTTCCTGTCTACGGCCCTGTTTTCCCTCCGCCGGACTCGTCCCCGGCTCGTCTCCCCCCTCGTTCCCCTCCTGTGTCCCCTCCTCTGTCTCCTGACCCGACTCCTCCGTCGCACGTCTGGTCTCACCGTCCCTCCCGTGCTCGTCCTGCCTCGCCTGTCCTGCGCTCCCACCCTATGTTGCTTCGTTCCCACGCGTCTCGTCCTCCCCTTCTGCCGTCGCCTCCTCCTTCCTCCCTTGTTGTTGCACCCCCCCCGCTGTCTGACTACCTTCGTGCCGCTCGTCCTCTTGTTCCTCGCGTCCTTGCCTCTCTCGTTACCGACCCGTCTGTTCCGGCCTCGTGCCTTGACGCCCTTGTCGCTGCTGTCGCTGACTTCGCCTCTTCCCGCCGCCTTGACTACGCCATAGCTCTGGTCTCTGACCCTGCCTGTCCTCCGTCTGTCGGAGGTGCTCCTGCCCTTGGCAGTGACGTCCTGGAGGACCGCCAGTTCGAGCTTGCTTTCCTCTCCGAGGCTGCTCCCCATCTCTGTTCCATGCTGCTAGTCCCTGAGGGTGACCCAGACGCTTTTGACATCCCGACCCCTCGCACTTACGCTGAGGCGACCTCGGGACCCTGGGCCTCGCAGTGGATAGCTGCCGTGGAGCAGGAGATGGCATCTTGGAGATCCACCGGCACCTTCGTCGACGCAGTTCCCCCGCCTGGGGTGAACGTAGTCGATGGCCGCTGGCTCTTCAAGGTGAAGCGCCCTCCTGGAGAGCCGCCTGTGTTCAAGGCGTGCTACGTGGCTAGAGGCTTCAATCAGCGCGATGGGGTGGACTTCTTCCAGACCTTCGCTCCGACCCCGAAGATGACTACTCTTTGGGTTCTGTTACACCTAGCTGCTCAGCGTGACTACGAGCTTCACTCCCTCGACTTCTCCACTGCCTTCCTTCAGGGCAGCCTACACGAGCAGGTCTACCTACGTCGCCCTCCGGGCTTTACTGGCACCTTCCCTCCTGGGACCCAGTGGCTCCTGCGGCGCCCCGTCTACGGCCTGCGCCAGGCTCCCCGTGAGTGGCACGACACTCTCCGTGCTACGCTTGCTGACCTGCAGTTCTTTCCGTCTTCCGCAGACCCTTCCCTCTTCGTTCGTGCTGGCCAGACTCCGTTCTACATCCTTGTTTACGTCGACGACCTGGTTTTTGCCACAGCAGATAGGGACGCACTGGCCTCCGTGAAGGCAGAGCTGCTGAAGAGACACATCTGCACTGACCTTGGAGAACTGCGCCGTTACCTTGGCTTGCAGATGTCCAGGGACAGAGCTGCGCGCACCATCACCCTGACTCAGTCACACTTGGTGCGCCAGGTCCTTCAGAGGTTCAGCCTTCAGTTCTCCTCTGCACAGCCCACCCCTCTGCCTGTAGACCACAGGCTCTCCGCTCCAGTGTCTGAGGAGTTGGTAGAGCCCAGCGGCCCCTACGCAGAGCTGGTGGGTTGCCTCATGTACCTGATGACTTGCACTCGCCCAGATCTCGCATACCCTCTCAGCATCCTGGCTCGTTTTGTGGCCACAGGCAGACACCGACCGCAGCACTGGTCTGCCGCTAAGAGGGTTCTGCGTTATCTTGCTAGTACATCGGGCATGGGGTTAGTGCTAGGAGGACGCAGGCCAGTGGTCCTTACTGGACACACAGACGCTTCGTGGGCAGACGACGCTGAGACACTCAGGTCTACCCAGGGCTACTGCTGCTTCAGCCTTGGCTCAGGTGCCGTCTCGTGGAGAGCTACTCGCTCCTCGTCTGTGGCGCAGTCCAGCTGTGAGGCTGAGATCTACGCTGGTGCCATGGCGGCACAGGAGCTCCGCTGGCTGACCTTCTTGCTCACTGACTTAGGTGAGCGGCCTAGCTCTGCCCCGGTCCTGTTCGCTGACAACAGGGCCATGATCCTCCGGTGTCAGGAGCCTCGACTCAAGGGCAGAGCGAAGCACATTCAGCTGCGGTACTTCCTCCTGCGTGAGCTACAGCAGCGACGTCAGGCTCGCGTAGTACACTTGGCCTCTGGTGCCAACACGGCTGATATCTTTACGAAGGCGCTTGCGCCTAAAGATCATCAGCGGCACTGTGTACAGCTTGGTCTAGTTCCTGTAGCCTCTCACTTGCTAGGACCTTGACTTTGTACTGTCCTTTATATGTATACTCAGACTGGAATTGTGTCCTCTCCCAGTGGCTGGACTAGTAGTGCCGCCCTGCCCTTATTCTTGCCTTGTCTGTACTCCTTCTGACTGGTCTCTCAGACCCTTGTCTCAGAGGTTGGACTAGTAGTGCCGCCCTGAGCTGCTTGTTTAGGACATTCCCCTATGCAGTCTAGGGGGTGTGTCAAACATGTGTATTTGTCATGTTTGTATAGACTGTAGGGTAGCCTCTTAGAGGGTACAACACTTAGGTATATCTGTGTGTCCCCTCTCTCTAACATCATTCACTTCAATTTCTGATACCACGTTCTTCATTTGTAGTTCCAGTTTCGTTTTCCCCACCCACCCACCCTATTTGTAGGTGTAGTCTATTGGACGAGAACCATGTACCCAATCCCATATGAAATGAAGCACGCTGCCTTTGCCAAGTTGACCCAAGCAAGATTTCACAATTGATACAATATGAGCTGGCCATGCAGCCCTGTGCTTGCTTGAATGGGAGAGACAACTGCTTGCACTGAAGCCCGCAGCAGCACGAAAGTATTGGTGTGCCTTCAAAGAAATACCGGTGCTACAACTCAAAGACTACTGCATGCCTTCGAAGAAATACCGGTGTTGCAACTCAAAGACAACTGCGTGCCTTCAAAGAAATACCGGTGCTGCAACTCAAAGACAACTGCATGCCTTCAAAGAAATACCGGTGCTGCAACTCAAAGACAACTGCATGCCTTCAAAGAAATACCGGTGCTGCAACTCAAAGACAACTGCATGCCTTCAAAGAAATACCGGTGCTGCAACTCAAAGACAACTGCATGCCTTCAAAGAAATACCGGTGCTGCAACTCAAAGACAACTGCATGCCTTCAAAGAAATACCGGTGCTGCAACTCAAAGACAACTGCATGCCTTCAAAGAAATACCGGTGCTGCAACTCAAAGACAACTGCATGCCTTCAAAGAAATACCGGTGCTGCAACTCAAAGACAACTGCATGCCTTCAAAGAAATACCGGTGCTGCAACTCAAAGACAACTGCATGCCTTCAAAGAAATACCGGTGCTGCAACTCAAAGACAACTGCATGCCTTCAAAGAAATACCGGTGCTGCAACTCAAAGACAACTGCATGCCTTCAAAGAAATACCGGTGCTGCAACTCAAAGACAACTGCATGCCTTCAAAGAAATACCGGTGCTGCAACTCAAAGACAACTGCATGCCTTCAAAGTTTACCGGTGCTGCAACTCAAAGACAACTGCATGCCTTCAAAGAAATACCGGTGCTGCAACTCAAAGACAACTGCATGCCTTCAAAGAAATACCGGTGCTGCAACTCAAAGACAACTGCATGCCTTCAAAGAAATACCGGTGCTGCAACTCAAAGACAACTGCATGCCTTCAAAGAAATACCGGTGCTGCAACTCAAAGACAACTGCATGCCTTCAAAGAAATACCGGTGCTGCAACTCAAAGACAACTGCATGCCTTCAAAGAAATACCGGTGCTGCAACTCAAAGACAACTGCGTGCCTTCAAAGAAATACTGGTGCTGCAACTCAAGCAGCTGCCTCTCCAGCTCCAGCTTGAACTGGAGAGACAACTGCTTGCACTGAAGCCCGCAGCAGCAGCTAGCAGAGCGGCTATATCTGCTGACAAGTGCGCCCTGGCAGAGGCTTGGAGTTTTCCCGTGACCATTAGGGCTGTAATGCATCTACTAGGATCCCTGAATAGCATCATGGTGCAACCAGTTGTCTCTCCAGCTCCTGCTTGTACTGGCAATGCCCTTGATGAAGTCCACAGCAGCATACCGGTAAGCGTATTGACGTGCCTCCCATCCCAAGAAGTACCGGTGCTACAATGCAAGAAGCTGTTTCTCCAGCTCCTGCTTGTACTGCCGCATGCCCTCGATGAAGTCCACAGCAGCATCCAGCAGCGTGGCGATCTGTGTGCGACTGCTGAACCCCGCCTGGCTCTGCCTCCTCACCAGCACCTCCGCTGGTATCGCCGCCTTGAGTGCCTCCATTCGCTCTCTGTGAGGCACCATCAACAACGACGACAACATGGAAAGAGAGGAGAGGAGCTGAGTGACGACGGTTGCATATGGTGCAGATGGCACCGGAAAGCAGCAGCATCAACAGCAGCAGCAGCAGCAGCAGCAGCTACGCAACAGGTGAACAAATCTATTGTCAACACATACCACACCATAACTTCCATCACCCCACAACCCCCACCACCCGACTCACGCTATTCTGGACCGCCGGTGCTTCTCAGTGGCGCTCTTCCCACTGATTCTCCTCCCCCCTCGCCCTCCCATCGCGCCCTTTGGCGACAGAGATCTGACCCCAGCTGCTGCTTGCTGCTCTCTCCTCTCACCACGCATCCCCACCCCTGCTGCCCACCTCCCTGTTTCCACCTCCAGCCTTGAAAAGAGAGGAGATGGATGCAATGGGGCTGACAGGGGCGTGTTTGATCCTGTGAGCTGCTCAGGGGTCACCACCGACTCCAGAGCTGCTGACTGCCCCGTGCGGGGCTGTACATGCGGTGACCGTAGCGTGAAGGGTTGGTGAGCATGTGAGTCCAGAGCACGCAATTGCAGCACGAGCGGATTCGGTGTCGATGGCGGCGGCTTGGTTGACCCATCCCGGTCCCAAGGCGGTTTAAAGTTCATCTCTGGCGACACCGGTGGGTGCAGAGCGGTGCTGCCAGGTGCCTGCCCATTGACTCTCAAGAGTCCGCTAGGCGACACCCCCTGCTCACACGCCAGAGATGGGAGCAGCATGGCTGGCGCAGCGGCAGCGGCAGCTGCAGCACTCAGCAGCCTGGGAAAATTCCCGGAATTAGCTTCTTGGTCAGGCTTGCTGCAGGCGGAGGGAGTCTGGGCTGGCAGGGTGGGCAGCGGCTGTGATTCCAGGGGGGGTGACTCTCCTGGCAACGCCTGTGTCTGCGTCTCATGGGGCGGCAGCAGAGACGGCAGCACAGATCGCCTGGCAGGTGATGCAGCAGCCCTGGAGTGAGTGCTTAGGGAGCGAGTGTCGGTGTGGGCGTTGAAGTGGGCGTTGAGGAGGGCGTTCGGGTTCGGGCGCATGGGAGCCAGAGCTGCTGGCGATGCGCTCAAAAGGCACTCGGGAAGCGCCAGGCTCTCAAGAGTCACAACAGCCTCCACAACAAACTGTTGGCCCGCCTCAAGGCACCCTGGGCTGCTAACACGGGGCTGCATCTCACAAGGCTGCACCAGGGGCAGCATCAGAGCTTTAGTTAGGGCGTCGAGAGGGTGCGTCGTGGGGATCAGGCCATTCCCTGAGCCACGGGCCGAGCCACGGGCCGAGCCACGGGCCGAGCCACGGGCCGAGCCACGGGCCGAGCCACGGGCCGAGCCAGGCCAAACTGCCTGATTCTGCAGCATCCTCCCAGGACATGGCTGTCCCTCCCGGAGCACTGGTGGCACCACAGCATGCTGCCACGTGGAGGGCGTTGCCTCTGCGCCCCGCACTCCGCAGCTGGAGGCTTCCCCCACACGCGCTCTTGTGTTCCGTAACCCGTTGTCAGGGGACCAGGCGTCCGTTTCCTCTCCGGAAAGGCCAGAGATCACTGCAGCAACACCAGCAACAGCACCAGGACCCGTACCAGCACCAGCAGCAGGAGCAGAAGGAGCAGAAGGAGCAGCAGGAGAAGTTGTAGCAGCTGCAGCAGCTGCAGCGGCAGCAGTGTTACCCCGCCTCCGCTTCGTGGCCTGGAGAGCGTTCATTTCAGCGAGGTCATGGAGTTGAGCCGCCAGGAGCCCTCTATTTGTGCCAAAACGTGGTGGGGCGAGAGACGAGAGCGCTGGGAACGCCGCTGAGGGAAAGGGAGGGCCGTGAGAGGGAGGAGGATGGGTGGTGGGGTGGGAAGCTGGCCGCAATGGCAGCTGATGACTGGGTGGCGGGGTCTGATTGGGTTGGGGGTTTTGATTGGGTGGCGGGGTCTGATTGGTTGGCAGCTGCTGCTGACTCATCATCTGTTCAGGAAGCAGCGGAACGGAGCCGTGAGTGTGGTTCAGCAGAAGGTTTGCTGGGGGTACACTGCCCGGAGACCCACTGCCCAGAGACCCACTGCCCAGGGACCCACTGCCGCCATCCAGGAGTGCTGCCGAGGGCGCCACCAGCTCACTCTCACCCTCCATCGCACTCTCCGCTAGCAACGTGCCTGGCTGCTCGGCGCGCTGCTGGGCCACTCGGAGCAGGCCAGTGCAGGGGTGGGTTGCATTCATCGGCAGGGCATCAGGTGCTGCCACTAGAGACGATTGGAAACTAGGCGGCAGGGCTTCTGCTGCTGCTGCTGGCGCCCCACTCTCAACTTGCATTGAACCCGGTAGCAGCCAGTCTGGCTGCTCGGCGTGCTGCAGGGCTGTTCTGAGCAGGCGGAGCTCCTCCTGGCTCACGCTCACGCCCCAGTCCGCCATGCCGCCGTGAAGCGCGTCGAAGCAGTCCATGTATAAAAAAGAGAGGCTGAATTTGATTCTTGAGGCGCTTAAAAACCACAGTTTTTAAAAAAGGGCTGAAGGTGTTGCAGTGGAACGAACTCAGTGGGGCTCGCCTGTGGAAATCCGGGAATGCCGTGGGGCCGGTAGGAAAGAAACCCTTGGAAGTTACTTTCTCGCGGAAAGTTGGCTGAACTTCAGGAGGACACGGGCTACTAGTAAAGAGCTGCGTTCTTGAGTTGGGGAAGAGCACTGCTTTAATTTGGCAGGGGCAGTCTGGACGACCGCGGCGTATGAGCGAGTAGCGAGTACTAGTAAGAGTGAGTAGGAGAGAGAGTGGGAGGATGCTGCTGCCCTGCGTGGGAATGGGACTCGGGGTTGTGCGGGTGCGCCCAATTGCGCGGAAGGCAAAGAGGGGATGCAGAGACGAGTACGCTATGCCGCTGTATGCCCCAATGGCGCGAGGAGTGAGCGAGAGAGCGAGCGAGAGAGAGAGGAGTACTAAGTGAGGGCTGGGGGCGAAGGGTTGCCTTTTTGACATGATGCGACGTTGATCGAAGCAAGTTGCGGGGCGAGAGCGTGTGTGAGGCAATGGCGGTGGGCAAACCGGCTGTCAGTCCTAGGAGGACCTAGGAGGAGGAAAGATGCCTCATTTACGCCAAGCCGCCACCCAGCTCACCCGTCAAGCCAGGCTGCGTGCCGCTGCATCGCTAGACTGCCCCACCATTCGAGGAGCTGATCCATCACAAAACAACGTCGCCGAAACTCGGCGAAATTTTGGCTGAACTCAGCCGAGGGGGGCAAATCCCGACGGAAAACAGTACCAATCTTCCGTCCGAATTCGGAATAGTGGGGCGACTGAGGGCCGGTTGAGTCTCGGTAGAACTTCCGACAGAAGTTCGAGTCGCGAAATCCGCCAGTGCTCAACGTGATTTCAGGCGGAAATGTGAGTGACACCATCGAGCGATTTCAGACACTGTAGACAAATGTGACTATTAATTAATTTAAATTTGTACACCGTAATGATATGACACTAACCATGATTATCGTAAACAAAACTTTGTACACGTCATCACAAAAAATAATGACACGTGGATACAGTCTGTCGCAGCTCCAATCGCCACGTGGCCGTGTAAATGGCATCAAATTTCACCATAAATTTGTTACAATTTTGTAAAACCACGTGTACAATACAGGGTTCAGCACAGGGTGACATTTCTTCATATCGTGACGAATCATATTGACAACCGCATGTTACATAACACCGGCACAAAATAGCACTAAAACACGGTGCAAAAACGAGTCACTAAGCTATATTATACCGACACGACACTACTTATTCCCATTCTATGTCTCTGCACTGTGCCGTTCCAACGACTCATCTCTGGAATTAGTCCGATTTCTTGGAATCCCTGCAGCCCTCGGACAGCGAACAGATCGTCAGAAACAGGAAACTAAAATTGACAAAACGGAACCGCAGAAGCGTCACTTACCGGGAATCGTGACTGCACGTGCTGCTGCTGCAACACATGCGCCGATTGTAAAAGCACAACGGAAGGCGAAATCAGGTAAAGCAACGGTAAAACTTGCAAGGAGCTTACGTCCACGAAAGGGTGATGTCGTTAGTTATACCAGCTTCAACGAAACACCTTCATGGGAAACAACAAAACACAAGAATGAAGGAGAGAGAAAACTGGAATAAAAAAAAGATCGGCAAAAAAAACGAAGAACGAAAATCGTTGGCGAGGAGCTTATCTTGTGCGACGCCTGTTAGATGATGGCGAGGAACTGGGTAAACACGATGGCGAGGAACTGGGTAAACACGATGGCGAGGACCGGAGGGGATGGATAGAAACTCAAGGAAATGTGCACCAGATGGGATGGTGTGCTCAAACAGACACGGTAGTAGAGCAAATGAGCACCTAGAGTGAGTTGTGAAGGCGATGAACGGGATGAAGCAAACGTGGTGGGTGGGTGGGTGGGTGGGTGGGAGGGGGTGTGGCTCAGGAGAGGGAAGCCTTCTCTTGCAGATAGGGATAAGGGCGTGTCCAGCGCGTACGTCTACAATTCACTTTATACGGTTCAACATGGTTTTCAGATTTCCAACGTGATGAAGTGCGGAAAACGCTCCTGATATCCTACTGAACCGTGATCCTGCACTGTAAACGTACGCGCTGGACACGCCCTTAGGTTCACAGTACAGTAACGAGTTTGCTGGTTGGTTGGCATGTATTTGTGCCATGCTGTCAGGGCGTGTCCAGCGCGTACGTTTGATTGCGGTTGGGTGAGGTGCCTCACGGGTCAGAAGGTTTGATAACAAATCTAAAACGGTTGGGTAGGGTTCGACCAAAAACGAACGCGCTGGACACGCCCTGACAGCATGAATACGAACCTGGTTACGCGATTGGCTGGAGCTGGCAGTCGAGGGCGAGAATGCTGACTTGTAATGCAAACGGGCCCCAGGCTTGCCAGCAAGGAACTGTACACCGATTAGCTGGGAGACCAAAATTCGCGCCAAACAGCATTCCGATTGGCTGCGCAAATCAGATTCTGCGCCAACTCACCTCGTCCTTGGTTTGCTGCTCAATCGAAGCACACGATTGGCTAGGTCGTGCAGGCAGCAAAATCGGGCTTGTCTCCTCAAATGAACCTCACTGGTTGCAAAGATGCCAGCGACCTCAGGCAAACTCAAACAGAATCTTGTGAGTGCCAACAAGGCGAGTACGTCATTTGCTGGTTAGTATTCAACACCTTATGGTGACTATTTTCCAATACTAGCACATATGAGTGGACAATAAATGCAGAGGCAAACCTTATGCTCGATGCAGATTGGTGAATACAAAGACCTGCAATCTTGTAAAGTATTGCAAACACCATAGTTGAACTCAAAAGGATTGGATGGTTATGCTTACCACCACAACCTAATACCACCAAGATAGAATCATCATTGAGCATTCCTAGATTTGTGCTAACATGCTGAAAATGGGCGAAGCAACTTGATATCTACGCACACGGCATCTACAATTTTTTAACAAGTATTATGCCATGGAAATATAAGTATTCATTTTAAGTACATAAATATTATTTTGACACTATGCCTCCTTTTTATATAACCAATCTTATGGTACATTCCTACAAGGCACGGTAGTTTAGCTTTCATTACTTTGGTGAAGATTTCCCGTGTCGCGCGGCAGTTTATCCCAACTTCTCGTCATATTGTGCTTTTGACTTGCGAAATATTGCGACCCTTACTTCTATGCCAGATGGCAACGGTTGTTTTGCGGATTTCAATAGGCACATTTTGATAGTGGCACATGTTCAAATCACAATTTTGGAACCCGAAATTTAGCTGACCCATGCCAAGCATGACAACGCAGCACGTGAACAGAAATTTGTGTATCACCTGCACAACGGATTGGAACTAGCGCAAAGACACCTCAAATGGCAAACAAACCAGCAGATAACAATGTCCACAATTGTGCACCCACCCAGCTAGTGGGAGATGTGGCGTACCCTCTAAGAGACTTCTACTTCACCCCACTATATGCTCCTCGGGATCGCCTCATGACGGACTGGGGGCAGCGCTTCAACTACTGCCACGGTGTGACAAGGATGGCCATCGAAAGGTGCATCGACGCGTACAAGGGTCGGTTTCACCTTGTACGAGGGTCGTGTATAGTTACACGAGTTGGATATGGAATCACAAATATAATATACCCTTGCGAAGTGCATCTTAGCTAGACCCTTTGCATTCTGTTGTATCACTATATAAATCATGTATCCCATTGTTGTAATCAATATTGTTAAGTTACACTCACTCTAATAGGGTTCATCGACCAATCAATCACTTTCGCAAAGCACACTACTGAAGTTCAATCCTGAAGATCATATGGACTATATTGGATCGCTTCAGGTATGGCCGTTTGAATAATGAAATCGAACCATTTTGTGCAAAGATAGGGATCAATAAAAGATAGCGTCATTTAAACAGTAACATGAATAGTGATATTGCAAACTTTCTAACTCAAATTGAAGTATGCGGCGCCTTCGTTATAGCAGGACCTCGCTGCCATCTGATTTCGAAGTTTCAAGGAGAATGAAGTAGAGAGATATGGTTCTGTTACTAATGTACTGCATGCGTATTGAGCAATGATATGGGTGGGTAAAGGATAGCACCATTAAGGCCCTATTATATTTTTTAAACCATCACTTGAAGTAAAACCCTCCTTTTGTATCGATACCTGTATGCCATCCAAATTTGGGGCACGACGGATAAGGGAGGAGAGAGTCATGGCTGTTTGAATAATGTAATAGGGGCGATTCGTGCAAGGATAGGGGATTATAAAAGATAGCGCCATTAAGACAATATTGCGAATATCCTACAGCAGATTGAAGTACGTGATGCATTTCCATAGTGAGATCTTGCTGCCTTGCAAATTTGGGGCCCAATGGAGAAGGGAGGAGGGAGATATGGCTGTTTGAATTATGTCACATAGGCATTTGCTGCAAGGATACGGGTGGATCAAATTTAGCGGCTAAAAGGAGTTGGCACCTTTATCATATCAAGACCTCGCTGCCACCCAAATTTGGGGTCAAATGGAGAAGGGAGAAATGGCCGTCTGAATAATGTCATGTGGGCATTTTATGGAAGGATAGCAGTGGATAAAAATTTGCGCCATTAAAGCACTATTGCAGATTTTTTAAAGCGGTTTGAAGGGGTTGACGCCTTTATCATAACAAGACCTTACTACCGTCCAAAGTTGGGGTGGAATGGATAAGGAAGGAGGGAGCAATGACTGCTTGAATGATGTCATGTGGGCATTTTATGCAAAGATAGGGGTGGATAAAATTTAACGCCATTAAGGCACTATTACGAATTCTCTAAAGCAGTTTGAAGTGGTTGGCGCCTTTAAATTTGGGACCCAATGGAGAAGGGAGGAGGGAGATATGGCCGATTGATCGGTGTAATTGGGGCACTTCATGCAAGGATAGGGATGGAAAACCTTAAGCACCATTAAGCCAGTATTGCGAATTTACTACTTCGGTTTGATGTGGGTGACGCATTCATCGTAGCAGGACCTCACTGCCATCCAAATTTGGGACCCAAATGAGAAAGGAGGAGGAAGATATGGACGTTTAAATAATGTATTAGGGAAAAGTCGTGCAAGGATAGGGGTCGATAAAAGGTACTGCCAGTTAGGCACTATTTTAAATCTCCTAACATGGTTTCTAGTTGTCAACGAGTTTATTACATCAAGACCTTTGTGCTAACCAAGATTGGGCCCAAAAGGAGCAGCGTATTGGGAAGTAAGGCTTCCTAGATATTTTGACGGGGTTGATTTCGTGCATGGATAGTGGCCGATTAAAAAAGTGTCATTTTTGCCCTTCTGCGAATTTCATAGCACGGTTAGAAATGGCATGCTCTTTTTTTTAC